TATGACTAGCGCGAATTTCGTAACATTATGTACATCTACAACCTCTACTTATGAAGTAGTAACATCGCCGGTTTGTCGGCAGGTCGCTCTGGCGGTCAGTCGCGTGGGCGGGGTGAGGAAAGTGTGTGTAATAAGAAGTCTACTTAAGTCCTTATATGATCTTACAGCGTTCATGGCTACCGTGAGTGAGAACCAACTAACTTGCCTCGTTCTGGTTACGGGCTGGTCTACATCGTTTCTTTTCCGTCATAAGGCGTCAAAGAATCGACCTAGACCATCCTGAAATCAAACTGTCAGGAGACAAAGGAGGTAGCGTGAGAACGCTCCTATATTAATATCGATTGGTATAGATGAATCACTATCAATCGATGTTGGTCTGTCTTGCCAGAAACACAGCGACCTGCCTTTCCTTGTCTACAGGAAAGTCAAAACCTACAGGAAAAAATTCGGGTAATGGCAATGATCCGAACGATATCACATCATCAGGTTATGTGATGGCCCAGTTGGCCGGTTTTTACTACAATGTATGGGATAATGGGCTTTCCTGGGTTTAGCCTCCGCTCTATAATGTGCAACGCTTCAAAATTCAGTTAGTATCGTAAAATCAAGTCCATGCATATTTGATTAATGTGATAACTGATGTGTCCAAGTCAGTACCCCCAAGCTACCTTCCCAAGCACGTCTTCTCCCGAACATCCGAAAACGTTTAATTCATTTGAGTATTGGGACTGGATCGCCAAATCATTTCTTGAATTTGCCCATTATCGCTCCCATAGTCTTGCTTACCCTCTAATGCGGATTACTGTCGTTCCAGTGAGCTGATTCCGTTGATTTGGGCTACTTCATTTACATATTAATTATGAGATGAACTAATTGGTCACGAAGGGTCGTGGGGACTAATTTGTAAGACTTCTGGTCGGATAAATCGTAAACCGGTTTCAACCTCTCTCAGCCTTCAAAGAAGGCGAGATCGCTGGAACGTTAGCGGCGGAATTATTCTCAACACATGTGCTGTTAAATTGAATTGAATAGACTTATCCTGCTTTCTCAAACGAGACCATAGCAAAAAGGCTAGAAAGCCATTGGAAAGGTTTGTGTAGTCTGAGAGGAGCTTCGGAGGTGATGAAAGACGGTTGAACAAAAAAGCGTCAGTGGGAGACAAGTCAATCAAAAGACCAGAGAATCAATAAATGGAGAAATTCGAAAAAAGAACAGTGAGGGTGCAGTCGTATGGTGCAAGCTTTTGAGCAGAATGAAAACAAGAGGCTTCATCTGGTATCAACGAGGTTCCGTGCGGTGGCGAATCGATCTACAAGTTGAGTTTGGTCCCAATTTCCTGACCTAGGAAGGAGAGAAGGCTCGGTTAGTTTGGGCGGGTATTGATCCGGAAGTCGATCGCCACGTTCANGGTAGCAGCGCCCCTTGATACTGCTCCATCTCTAGCTTACATCTAGTTGCCCATAATGAATGTCAACTTGTGAATAATTAAGTTTTTTAAAGTTAATTAAGTTAATAGTTTCTTAAATAACAAGTCTGTAATAGAAATGAGAAAAGGACACGAACGAAATGACAAGTGTCGCTATGTGACGGCAGACTACATACATCAAACTGGAGTGAGCCGCACCCTTTCGCTCCTGTACTATGTCGTTTTCCTGTGAGAATGGGCAAAAATAGTGGTGTTACGGCTTTTTATGAAGTAAAGTACCATACTGTATTGGTCAAACTACTTTTCTATCGCATTTGGCTTCAACTCGTATATAAAATTCTGAAAATGAATGAGTCTTTTGTCTGTTCCAATATATACCGCGGAAAAACCGCTGGGACCGGTTCCAGTCAAGGTTCCACGTACTCAGTCTGCCATGTAATGTCATTTGAAAATCTGAGCCACTTTCACTAATTTGCTTATCGAGTTTCGAAATTGTTTACTGTCTTTGTGAAAAAAAGCATAAACACCTTTACTGAGATAGTTCTCGAACATTTCCTTTTCCTTTTAAAGTTAGTTAGCTTTCGAGATTTCACTGGTTTTCTTAGTTTTTGGCATCACACTCGCTAAAATTCTAGCATATCTACTTTTATCGGCGAAGATTTTCCTTTTGTTGCGAAAAATTTTCTCTTATCAGAGCCGCCACGAGCTGTCTCCTAGGCCCTATCAAGACTGGTGTACTTTGTCTCATTCTCAACGCTACTAATCTCCTGATCGATAACATACAAGATTCTGTTGACATTCACTTCCAGTGCAACCAGTAAATACAAATGTCATAGCATGTCATATAAAAAAGAAAGTAATTTTTGGTTGTGGGTAGATCACGTATTTCCGAATTACTCGAAGGCTGCAGCCAGCCAAATCAAGCATAGTAGGTATTTTGACCCTATTCTGCATGGAACGGGGAACAGTGACGGCAAAAGTGATTCTGTTCGTTTAGTGTTGTTAGAATGCGTTAGCAGCTGCGTACATAGTCGGCGTTTGCCGATGGGCGACAGGCCGACGGCGACGGCGTCGGCTTCGATCAATAATCTCATGATACACTTTGAAAAGCAACAAGGGAACATTGAAAAGCAAAGTCGCACCCAACGCGTACCATCAACCAAACAATGTGAGATCAGTCGCATACGAACAAGAGCGAAGCGTAGTAGGCAAAACTGAGCTCCTCTAAGAACTTGAAAACTTGATCGCATGGATTATCGACCCTTGGTATATCAACGCTACCGCTCGTCGCCCACCGTCACCGCGGAGTATGAACACGACTATATATACGGAGATGGGAAACCTGTTATTCTCTCTCCGAAGGTGAATAAGTTAGCTTATCTGAATGTAACATTTGATACTTTATTGGGCGGAGGCAAATAAACCAGAGGTCCAGTGATCAAATCCTCAACCGATACCTACCCAGGACGTCGTTTAATTGGTACGGGACTCCCTGCATGTATGATAATCCTAACTTGTACATCCTTAGATCAATGGTGGTCCCTTAGATCAATGTATAGGGCGGACATGCATTCAAACACCGCTACATTTTGAATGGAAGTCGAATGTATAGGCGTGCGCGAAAATGGGACTGACCCATGTAGTTTTGTTTTTCATAGAACGAGCAAGGTAATTCTTGGTGGTACGGAAAAATTGAGGGCTCAAAGTCTCAGAAAAAAAGTCCAATGGGATGATATAATCCTACAAATAGAAGAGCCAATGCTTCTAAGGCTGGGCTAACCAATTAGAGAAGTGTCTTAGGAATGCCAAACAAAACATTACATTCAAGTGAGACGAATCGAGAAAAGAGAGTGGGAGAATCTGAAATGAGCCGTCATTTCCAACAGGTTTCCATTCCTTTTTAGAAATATTTTAGAGAATGGTCTAAATTTATTGGAACAAGAGAGGGATTCTTGTGGTTGGTGAAGTAGAGAACAAAATGAGCGAGAATGTTGCTGCCGGGCTGCTTCAAGAATAAGACCTCTGATAAGACGAATGATAACGAGAAACGTATGGATTATTGGTTGGTTAGACCAGAAAGGTCGTTAGAGAAGTAGAGTATACCCTTTGATAGCGTCATCTACGGAAAACTGGTTACCTTCATGTCCCCTTCAGTAACTCGGTGGGTTGACATCTTTATTTCCCTATGACCACGAGAATTTCTTCTTATGACGCAAGGACAGCAGGAAAAAAAGCTATTTCCTGTTGTTTGATCGGATTGGTGTTCAAAATGTGAAATTTTCCTACCCACCTGCTTGAGAGTTGCCAAGTTGCTCGAACACGTACTGGTCTGGACAAATTTTGGCCCCGCCCCCTTGCTTTAATTCTGCTCCTCTGGTGCGAACAGCGGACTCTCCTGAGAATTAAATGTTTGGCTTCAGTTTGATCCAGCTCCATACTTATTTGGAATGAGTAGGAACCATGATCTGACCCCAGCTGCTCCCATAGGTCCTTTTCTATCCCCAAATGGTCCGCCTCCCTCAATAAACAGATGTCAAATCAGTTTATAGACTACATCCTATGGTCCTATCCTGAATTCCAGTGCAAACTGACCATCAGTCCTATGGCTTTCTTCCCTGCGTACTCCTCTCGTTGCCCCCTTATTTGTAATGGAGGAAAGCGCGCTCTAAACATATTCCATGACCCATTCCAACTGCACTCTCGCGCTCCAATGTTCAACAAATGTTGTCTTCAAATTCTGCCAGTTTCATAGCTCTCTGTTGTTTTGAGGTTCAAATGCTTTGTTCAATTTGAAGCTTGTTTGCTTTCAGAATGGGTGAGGACGTGTTTGACGTCTTAAACCTACCGACGACTGCCATTCGCCGGGTGCTACGGTTCCTAAGGTAAGAAAGCCTCTCAATTCGGTTCTTTATTGAATTTTCTTCTGTGTTTTTGTAAGTGAGTACTTCTTGTTTTGAAGAATAATCTCAAGTTCAGAGCTGAACCCGGAAGCCTTCATGATATGCTTTGCCGGAACTCTTGCCTTTCCTTATGATACCCATTCAATACATATTACTTGAAACTGCTTGAATTTAACTTCCATATTTTAAATTCATGAAAGCAATTCTGAGCACCAATTCTATTTCTGTTGATCCTAACCATGATCTGGTGCTGTCAAGCTTGGATTCCATCAATTTCTCTCATTCTGGACTTTTATAGAATTCTAGAACTAGCAAAATGCCGGAAGGTTTTTCTGTCACAGCGGGAGACTGCTTTCATGTTTTTCTTTCGAACATTTTGAAGGCTTTTTGAGTTTATAGAGATAATTTTCATACTAACTCGAAATAGAACCACTTTTTATTTTAGATATCCCGATCTTCGTAACGTTGCCAAAGCCATTCCTTCCTTTTCGAACTTGTGCGAAGATGAATTCCGCAAAATTGATCGTGAAGTTCAGTCACGACGCGATTTTAAATGGTGAATTGGATTCAGCTGTTTGTTTATTTATCATTTGTTCGCTATGCTCCGAAAGTGCGCCATTGGCAACAGAACAAAATCATAATATCTGCTAGATTTATAGTAAAAGTTCATTTCAATGGAATCTTTTGATAAAGCTTCTCATTCATTATTCACCGGCAACATTCTTTCCAGGACACGATTCGCTAGTAGTAACGATGAGGATAGTATGGCACCACGAGGTCTTCATAGTATGGCCTATCACGAAAAAGAATGCGCCATGTATGCATTTGGTGGGGAGGCGCCTGACTGGCGAATGCAAGGCGATTCAAGTGGACCGGCGTCGTTTAATGACCTGTGGAGGCTTGACATGGTAAACATTAGCTTTGTATCTAACCATCTAGTAGTCTAACATAGTTGTCTAGTATCTAAGGCGATTGATTCATTTATTATTTATTATTTATTATTATTGAGCATTTCGTGTCGTTCATTTGTTTATATGCGATTTCTTTAGACATCACTTAAATGGTCTCGCGTTGTGGTGAAGTCATCTCCATATCCTCTGCCAAAGTATCTATGTTCCATGGTTGTGTACAAGGTATGAAAGATCTCCTAAAAATTTTTGTTAAAAGCATGATGTTTTCGTTAAGGATGAGCTGCTGATATACGGAGGTTGTAGGCCACTACCACGTCACGGAAGCGCGATACATCTGAATGAGCTTCATTTGTTCAACACCAAGAAGAGGGCATACAGGATTGTGAGTTTTTTTTTCATTGGTGTAGGATGCTAACAAATCAAGATTGGAATTTGGAAATCCTCTCGGGGACTTCATCTTTTTGTCTTCTTTATTCCCATTCTTAAAACTGTAACCTGATAGCACAGTCTGCGCTGCACCACATAATAGTACTGTCTTGCCTTGCTTTACTATTTTCGTTTCCATAAAAGTAGTCTAGTACAATCTTTCTTTGTTAATATGCCAGTGGTTCAGATCTACCTGGGTATTGGTAACATTCGATTGTGCCTTTGACCTGAGCAAAATTGTCGGTAATATATAGGCAATCCCTCAGAACTGTTAGACTTTATTGATCCCGGTGATATTGAATGTGAAATTTGAATCTTGATCATCATACGTATGGTAGTGGCGACGGCGCCGGTGTTCTACCCTCCCTTATAATTTCCTTGTTCTTGTATCAAAACTTTGCCACTTATTTTTTCTATGTGTATTGATCTTACTCGACTTTTCCTCCAAGAACCTTCTTTGTTAGTACTTTGGAGTTACACGATTATCAAAATTTAGTACATATCCCCCACTGTCTAGTTTCTCATAATAAATTTCTTCTAGTTAGCGACGACAAACGATGGTCCAAATCTAGCAGGACATGCCTCTTGTATACATGGCGATCTGTTTATTGTCCATGGAGGAGTGGTTTCAACTTGTGAGGTCAGCTATCGAGTAACTGTGCTCGATATGCGAACGAAACGTTGGTTTCATGCTCCACTGCCAGGCTTTCCTACGTGAGTTTCTTGAGCTTAATTTCGCTATGCTCAGGAGTACTGCAGATCGTCAGCTGCAGTGAAGCAGTGATTCAAAGTTACATGATACATCTTTTACAGAGTTCTCCATTACCTAGCAACGTCTCACATCCCCAGGTGACTTTTCTTTCCTTTATTTCCTATTTTATTTTATTTTTCCTATTTCCGTTTTTGCCATTGCCAAAACTCAAGAAAATTTGCTTCAGCTTCATGGTGGGTTCCTCGTCTCTTATTGTGCTACGTGAAGGTTGTCTTCTAGCAACGGGTGAAAATATGCGGGATGACTTGTGAGCTGATTTATTGTGTTCTTCCCCTTTCTGAACTCTTACGTCTTATGAAAAGAAGAGGATGTCCAGTCCGTCATTTCTTTATATTAGAACCTTTTCTGATTTGCACAGTGCACTGCAATTCCTAGTCGATGTTTTGCAATGCACTGGGAGCATAATTTCACTTCCCAGAAGGCTAAAAATCCTCGTTGAGTTTATTTCGTCATGTATAAGCTTACTTATTTTCCAGACCAGAAAATACCTCGATCCTGTTTATATTTGATCCAACAGATCCAGAGGGCGTGCCATGGCAGTACAAATTAATACCGGTAAGATTGACCATTTGTTTTTTTATTTCCCTATATGAATGTATATGATAGATTTTCGAAAACCGGAGCACTAATATAGGTCTAATTGTAAGAAACCTTGTTGTTTTCAGGGTATTGGACGTTGGTGGCCGACAGTTGGTTTGTCGCCACCGCCATCAAACAAAAACTTCGGTGGCATTGCAGTGATGCGTTTTGATCGTGTTATTCGCTTGATATCTCTGGGAATGCCACAAAAAGGCAGTAAGGTTGGCAAGATTATGCTTCGTCGTGAATTTCCTGACTCGCTCCGTAAAGAGTGTTCCGTCACTCCTATTTCTCCTTCAACACTCTTGCCCTTGTGCTATGTTTTCCTCTTTGCTATGGTCTAAGCTTAGCAAAATCCTCCCATACGAAAGGATAATCTGGTCGATGACGGCACCAAAAGTTATTTTTAGAAAGAGTTTGTGAAAAATAAGGTGACTTGGCCGAATCAATGGCAGCGTACAATTTCTGGAGGCCTTATGTTTTTTTTCGTCTCAACACGAGTTAATACCCAATCAAAGAAAGGGATCAAGACTAAGGAAACGATTAGCAATAGGGACAGCGAATGAATGGGTGATTAATTCGAAAGTCGTGCTCATTGGAACCTGTTCTTCAATTGTTCATCAAAATGTTCAAGAAGTTTGATGAACGATGTAGTACTTGATGAAAAAGTAAACGACCGTAACAAACGACCAACAAAAGAATGGCAGAACAATTGTTGTCGATGATTTCATTAGGAATGCGCCGTGTTTTTATGGCAGTCATGAACGCAGGGATGTTTAATTGTTGTCGGCTATTCAGTGTCATTGAAAAATATCTGAATTGGCTTCATATTTGTGTGAAACAGGGCTATGAATTTCAGTCGGAAGTTTTCCTATAGAGATTTAAACTTTAAACTACATAATATTAGGAAATATTAATCGTGACAGAGTTGCGATACCTCTCGTCGATATTATGGCCCCACTCCTGCCTTAAATAGGCATGATCCCATTCTAAAAGTTACTTTTCCAAGTCTACAAAGGCTTTAGAAATGTCCTGAATGCGTGTAAATACTCATGCTGCTGAAATGGGTGTAAATACTCGTGATACAGTTGTTGACCGTGACATCAAGGAAACCTGTTTCTTCTCAATGAACTAGATTACCTGATGTTTTGTTCGAGTTGATCTCTTCTAAGAACCATTCGTTTTCGCAATCGAAGATGGATCGGTCCAACCATCAGTGGTATAAACTGACTTCACAGCTATATGAATTACAATACGTTCTCCATTTCTTTTGACAATGACTCATATCCGTGGTGATGGCTCTAATGCAACATTACTCATTCGCAGTTCGATTTTTCGCGTTACTCATCGACATTCAGATATTCTTAGCATGCATCCTCATTGTAAGGTAGTGAATTTACTATTTTTTCTGAAGATCACTTTTACAGGACTCAAGATGTAACATCACATATGACGGGGTACAAAAACGCAGTACTGGCTTCATTAAGTAAGCAAGTTCTTTTCGTTGCAATCACATTTTATATATTTCTCCTCATTGTGATTTTGGTTTCGCTTTGAACCTTTCGCCTTTTCTTGCCCTAATTGCTGATTTGATTTTTAAAGTCATTTCTTTTACACTGCTCCTATAGGTAGTTTTTTTTCTGGCAAGGCACAAGCTAAATTGATTTTATAATTTGATTTTATAAAGTCAGCGACTCCATTCCTTCTTCATGATTTCTCTTCAGGCATGTTCGATGTATCCTTGAAACTGAAATGTCCCGTCGTGAACAGGTGCGGCGTTACTGTCGTGAGCTCGATCCGGGTGAAGAGGAGCGAAGCGCAAAAGTTTGTAATCATTTTCTGCCTTTTTTGTGCATAGAATATATATGTATTAGGGTGTGCGGAAAGTATCTCCACTGTTGAAACCATTTGGAACTTGTGTCGTGCATTTGGCTTTGAATCCCCTTTAAATCGGTTCTGCACACGTCTCTTTCCAACACTTCACAGCCTGAAACGAAAAGATCGAAGATGAGCATCGTTTCGTCAACCGGTTGCCATATAACAATGTTTATCCTTTCATAGTAATTCCACGGGAGTCTCCACAAAAAAAAAACGAGAGAAATCTGGGTTTCCGCATAACTTCATAATTCTAGTTATGCCTAGCGTGGTTTCGTTATGATACAAAAGTAAAATTATCCATAACTTTATCAGATTTTCGTTCCTTTCAGTTATCGGAGGTCATTAATTATGATGGAATAACGTGTGAATTAGGGCGGTGTTACCTGTCAACAATGGAGGCGTTAAATTGTAAAGGGTGAGTTGTTCTGCTAACCTTGCCGTTTCGAACGACAAACCACCAAAGGGGGCTGAATGATTTCATTTTGTTTACATATTTAATGTTTATGTGCTATATGGTTTACTGCGCTAATGTGAGGTCTGACCTGCGAACAATGAACAACATCGAAGGGGGGTGTTGCAGATAGTTTACGCGCCACGGCTCGCGCAACTAAATGGCCAGTAAGAATGATATAGCAACATTTAGCGCTTTCTGTAGCTTGTTATCTTTCATCAAGTCTTCACTGCCCATACACTTTCGTTTTTCCATCCTTGGAGACCCTTCATAAACCCAGGTTTGAAGAAGCAGTTGTGATTCTATTTTTGTGGCTTGATCATCAACTGAAGTAAATTTCAATCACTGCCCTGGCAGGGCGAAAAAGGAAACTAATGCTGGCGCTCACACTGACTATCATATAATATATGTCCTTATTTGCTCAGACTTCGTGTGAACTTATGCTTATTTTCAATTCAAGTGCCAGATTCGCCACCAAACCCCGTACAATGGACATGGTTACAATCTCAGTGACAGTAGATCCACAAGCAAAGTCACAGAGAACGGCTCCGTTTGACGAGGTCGACGTCGCAGAGCTGAAACTCCGTTTGAGAACGATGATTGCGCAACTTCGTAAGTTCCTTCTAAACCACCTTCTTTACGCACTTTTCACATAATTTTCTTTTCTTTACTTAGGTTCAATTTTACCGGTATTGTATGCTCGTAGACCTTCCACATGTTGCGTGACACTTTTTTTCGCGTGACGATTTTCTTGAACGCAATTGATTTCTGCTGTTTTCGTTGTCGTGCGTGAATTCGTTTTGAATAATGTTATTCCTAACAGTTGGCAAGCGTGGTGCTTGTAATCCTTGCTGTGCAGAAGCTATAGTGGTTGTCTCAATTAGGTTACCTCACATCTAGGTTCTCCCTGGTAAACCATACTTGCTTGAAAGCTTCTGCTTTTGAGATGGCATACAGACCACTTTTGCCAAAGAAATAGTCCAGTCGTTAGAAGGGTGTCGCAGATTCGTCAGTCTTCTGGTCTCGTGTACTGCTTCACTCTGCAGGGAAGTAACTCCTCGTCCTTCTCCTTAATTTTGAAGATGGAATGTTCTATGCCAGGACGCGTATCTCGCAAATTTGGTCCTCCTCTCCCGTGTGTGCCTGGTTTTACACGATTGAATCTGTGTCCCTCACTGATGTGTCGCCACGTCTACTGCTTTGCAATAATGAACGTTGCATCCGGAATTCGCTGAAACATATTATGGCCTGTTAATCTTTCAAGCACAAGCCCGTCTTTAAGGTTGACCATCGTTAAAGCAATCCCTTTTTTCTTCCATTTTCATATGTTCGCCTTCCCTCAGTTGTTCTTAAACTTCTGATCTTGTCACTACTAAGTGAGCATATGTGGCTGTTTAAGATATGAAGTACTACTCGACACGACCTGATGTCCTATTGAGCCCGAATTTGCCTTCACGTAATAGCAGTTTTCGAAGAATGGTCGCTTTTACTGCTGAAATCCCTGTTGGAGAAGATTTTGATCCAATGCAAGATTTGCAAAGAATAGAGTAAGTTTTCTTATGCATTTGTAAGCCATTTGTGAATAACGATTCAGTAATCATCGTTTTTTTTTTGTGTTCTTCCATGAAGATTAAGTTCATGGCGTGCATCGTGGAGGTTTTTCTTAGGTGGATTCCGCAGGCAGTTCAGTATGGTGGACCACCGGAAACACGAAAGTATTGTGTGGTGGCGGCAAGAGGCGAAGTGGTCGTCCATGGTGGTAGTGTTCATTTCGGCGACGGTATGGGTATGATGGGCTATACGTATCTGATGACACCTGTGGCCACACCACCACCTACATTGGCAACTCCCATCTCTAATGGTATCTGTCCGAACCGACTTGATTTTAGGGTACTAGTCATTCACTGAAAATGACACAATCATTACGTGAGTACAGTACTTTTTATAAGATTTGTTCAAGTACCCCGCCTCTGTCTGCATATGTATAGTTCTTTGATTTTTTCGGTCATATTTTTGTTATGTTTGTTTTGGTTTCCATTTGTTACTTGTGCTTTTTGTTGGAGAAGTCTTCGTAGGTGTTTTCAAACGGCTCCTACGTCTACGAGAAATTTTATACTCTGATTTTCTTCCTGTTAAGAAAGAAAATCTTCAACGAATATTTCGTAAAGAATATTCGAGAAGAAAGCTGGAACACTTCTTGTACGTACAATTATTTTACAGGTTTCATTAAGTGGTTATCTTATGCCAAAAACTACAATTCAAGGGGTAACATGCTCTTAATTTGAAACCAAGCTTTCTAGAAATTTCCACGGTGTACTTGTTGAATTCGGCTGCCAATTGCGCATTCACGAGTATATTTCACATTCTGAAGTGATATCCGAGACAAATGTCAAGTGAGACGAAGTATGAGTGGTAGATGAAGTAGTCTCCACCTGCATCATATGAAATTTTGGGAATAAAAACTCATCCAGGTAAGTTTGTTGGTGCCAGGGTTCTTGGGAAGACAGGAGCCAGTCGGCTCTGGGGAGCTCGCGTCACTAATCATTCCTCTGGCTGTTTCTGCGAATGATTTCCATCTTTGTTACCTTCTCGAGGCCGGCATCAAGAACTGCGTATGGGTTTGGAGTTTGAGCCTTCACCCAACACCCAAGGGGCCACCATTCATGGAAAACACTACATCTCCTATTGGTTTTGCTACCGTCCTATGCTTATCGGCATTTGAAGATTTTGGATATCACTTCAGATTATATTTGATCAAACTTGTATATCAATGATGTTGAGCAATAGTTGCCGAAAACTTCCTCTAGTCCATTCTGACAGTACTGCTTAGTGTTCATAATTCCTTTGTATCTCAGAAGATGATGTACGATGTACGTCCTGTTGTCAAATCGTATAACGATAAATATTTTTTGTATATTGATTTCTTCGACCACGTCGGTTCTGATATCCTTCAATGTCTCACAACTTTTGTATAGTGTTAATGTGTTGTATAATGTAATGATGATAATAATTGTTTCCATTTATATTTTAGGAGTTACAAGTGGTCCTAAATTTAGCTCACCCCCGAGCTACGTTATGGTCAGTTCATCATCATAGATTTTCGTTCTTTTTTTCGACATTTTGCTTCTTACATACCATCATGTACTATCTATTGCAACAAAAAATCAAGTTGAGTTGCATTTGAGGCTTTAGTTTATAACACTTAGTTTCTTCAGAGTGGAAACTTAGTTATTTGTGAGATTCCCGAGGAACTCAAAAAGGAACTCCGGTCATTCCGATTCTCGAAAAGTACCGCGTTGAATGTGCTTATTCGTAAGTTTGCATTTAACTATTATTCACTGCTACTCTCATAGAAATATTGTCCGGAATTCTGACTTATTTATTACAGTCAAAGTCAATCGAGAATCTCAACAAATGATCCTGGAAGAAACGATGGAGGTAAATCGTTGTATTACGTTTGGATGGTTGCGCATGAAAGATAGGGAGAGATGGGAGAATAGGTCACGGGAGAGTTGCCCTTAACCTGTGTCTAGTAGCAGGCAGAATTTGAGCGAGTAGTTTGGTGTATCATAGTATCCGCTCCATTTAAAAGGTCGGTGGGCGAATGAAGCGAAATCGGCAAACAGTTTCGAGGTAGCTGTTCTATAGGATCTTTAGGCACTGTCGGTTGTGGTTGGAATTATCGCTAATTGACGGATTCGGATTACTTCGTTGACGAGTTTTCATACAGTAGCCGAAATACTATACTCGTAACCTAATATTCTGTTACTCAGTCATGGCATCAACCGCGTCGTTAACTCAAATAGTTTACCATTGGCCAATGCATTCATTAAACACCCGATATTTCTATCTTTACTTGATCAGTTTTCGTGATATGTCTTAGGACTGCTCAATCGATGAAGTGCGAGAAGAACTACCGCAACAGCAACCACGTTTCCTTCTAATCAGCTATACCTTACATCATTCAGATGGGCGGACCTCGTATCCAATGTGTTTGGTATTTTATAGTCCTGATGGTTAGTCGTTAAACATACATTTTCTTCGAGAACGCTTCCTAATATTGCTTTTGAGGACTCCAGCCGAAAAATAATGTTTTGCCAATGTTCAGGTTGTTCGCCAGAACTGCAAATGATGTATGCCGGTAGTCGGAATAATTTAGTGAAGGAATGTGAACTAACGAAGGTACAGCTGCGTTTTGTTTTGTTTTTTTTCGTTACGTTATTTATTTCCTACTTTTCACCTTAAACGCTCTTTTCCCTCAAATCTTTCCCCTTCACTCCCGTGATGCCTTTGGTTTCCTGAGTGTGTTATCTTTTCACTTTTTCCTTCTCGTTGTTATTTTCTTTTTAGAACTTCGAAATTCGTGACGCTGAAGAGCTAACCAAAGAGTACCTCGACTCGAAACTCAGTTGAATCGGAATTCCCTGTACTTGATCGCCTCTTACTTCTGGTGTGATTCGTTTTTGCCTTCATTTTTGTAACACTAATGACCTCCTATTCGCCTAACCTGGGAAATGCTTGGTTTTTTCAATGACCTAATGGCACTGGTTTGTATATGTAGGTGAGGATGTTTATTAAAGGCACAGTTCGGGATGAAAATGATTGACGAGATTTACTATTAGAACGAACCTGCACCTCAAAGTGGCTGTTAGGTCGAAAAGCGGCTCATATAAGGTCAATAGGGGACCAAAATCGGCTTTGAACGTCTACATCCAAAGGCGGACGAGATTTCACGGCGTTTTAGAGGCTACACCATTCGCAATAGAGCGCGAATGTTGGAAAATCGAACAACTAGGGGGAATCACTTATCGGCTTACTGCAGTCAGTCCTTTTAGGAGATGCAACCACTAAAATCTCGTTGGAATACCCTTTTTATGCCATTTCTGTCATGATAATCTTGCACTTTCTATTTGTATCACTTGGAACAAACAGATTTCACAATCTCTGATGGTTTTACAAATTCTTCGCCACCGATGTACTATTCTCCAGCAAAAGTCCCGCTTTTCAACCCAGAAACTTACCTCAAAATTATTGTGAACTGTGCCATAAATCGCTTTCATAGATTCATGCTTCTGACCTGTGCCTTCCTTAAGATTATCTCTTACATTGTGCATATGACTAATATAGTGGCTTATGGTTTTAAAATGTGACTTGACTATTTATTTTTTTTTTGTATTTATGTATCAGCCGTGTTCTGCTGACTAACACTGATGACCGCTTAATTTAGTGGTGGGTTTAATTGGTGCAAATTTTTGATTAGAGTGTATTTTCTTTTTTCTTTAAGATGCTTATGAAGTTAGAAAAGAATTCTTTTCATTAGTGACTAAGTTCAGTTGTATAATTTAGCTTTTGTTCTCGTAAACTATTGTTGTAATGTTCTAACTTGATTGTTCATTCCTTTTTTTATTTGATTCCATATTTCAACCTCGCTTCATTTGGCCTTGCACTTTCATTAACCTCAATATTCCACTCTAATCTAACATCGTGATTTTTTGAATGATTCTCTAATTTATAAATTGATAAAAATTTCGGCTTTGTCAATCAATACCGGCGATAGATTCGGCTTTGGCCGTTTATTATATCGGGATAATTTTGTAGCGATATTGGTAAGCACTTTCTTTTTGTCTTATTTTAGTTTTCCATTTTGTAGTCGTGATGACATTTGATGAATACCATTCCTTGAATGTCTGATGTGCTACTTTTTTTGGAAATATTTCAAAGGAGAAAAAAGGCTTATCAAGACATCCCATGGGTATGATTCGAATTTGATCATGACCATCGGATTCATGGAAAGTTTGGGTCATTTTTTCCTATTTCCATATTAATCAGTGTTTTGATTAGATCAACTTTGGGCTATCCTAACAGATGGAGTCGTGTTTGTCTAATAACTCAAGGGTACATACCTTTTCGCATTGAAAGTGAACCAGTGATTTCTGATTATTGAGCTGATATACCTTATAGAGGATCGCCTACCCCACTTACTTTGGATTGACATGCTTAGGAGAAGGTGAGGGAAAAGGTGTACTTGGAGGGGAAGGTGAATCAATGGTCAGGTGTGGTACTGAATGGCAGTAGCAAAAGGTTTTGTGCCGTACCGAGTCCATTCTGTAGTCCCTTTGCTAAATAGGCTCTTACTACTCGTGGAATCGTCGTTGCGAACGATATTGTTACAAAATGAGTCACTTCCATTGTGTATCCAACGAACTTTTTGACCAAAAATTACTGTGAGAATTTCCAACTAACCAAGTTTTTACTTATCGACAGTGACGAAGCCATGCCCGCTCCCTGCTCGGACCTCGGCTATGTTTTAGCAAGAGGTAATTGTCTATTCAGGGTATCATCTATGGTGATCATTAGTAAATATCGTTGGCCTTTGTTTTCTTGAAACTCAGTCGAGAGTTGAAAAATCTGCCTCCGAAAACGGACGGTCCCTTTCCTCATCGTTGGCGTGAGTAGTTCTTTCGATGACATTCAGTTGATTTGATCAGAACGTTCTCAGAAGAGATGTAATAGAAGTGTTCGATGCGGTAGAATGCACTTGCAGGTTTCGTTTTGATTTTATCGTTGCAGGTGTGGGTGTTCCTGTATTTCAAGGTTGTTGCCCTCCGTTGACATTAATGCCTCAGAAGATGTCACTCGGTTCATAGCGAACACCAATTCTGCTAATAGAAAATAACCGAAGCTTATCGAGTCCGATTAAGTTCTGCCGCAAAATAGGTGAGCATAAAAGTTCGTTCCGAAGGAGTGTGTCAAGTTGTCCACTTTGCAAACATAGCGTTTTCCCGTTGTGTGGGCTAAGCTGCATATCCATTTAACCGTAAAAATGCGATCGGTCTTCAGAAGCTTCAGTTATTTTTCGAAAGAACAGGGGCGTTTTTGGTAGACTTCCTTTTTTGTATAGGATATGATACGGATAATACTGAATTAATTATCGAACACTTATTTACTGAGAAAAAAGGGGTCACGGACTGACAAGGGCACGATTTGACAGCGTTGCTTCTGATATTGTGATGGTCGGAGTAATTTCGATTCTCGAAACCGTTCATTAGGAGCAGCCGGGTGTAGCTTGTAAGGCGATGTTCACAAGGTGACAGCGCCGGCTCCCAAACATGTCTGTCTGTACTGCTTCATAAGAACGTTTAGTAGCTGGACTCTGATTTAGCAACATTCGGTTCGACAATGAGGGACTAGCCTTCAGTCGTGCGATTCGATGAGCGACATTCAGGAAGAAGTTGGTATGTACAGATTGGTTACCGAGGCTAGTAAGACGCTTTTTGTAGACTTGGAATCATGTCAGAAGTTTTTTCGTGCATTTCATACTCACAGACATCCCGTAGACACCTTTGCGCCTCGAATTATTATTAGTCCTACCGTCTCGCCTGTGTCTGGAGAAGGAAGGGTGTCCGTTTTTTATTTAATGTCCCGTACTTTGAAATAAGAGTGGAAACAGGTGACTGCCCGGTGGAACTCGATTCGAATTGAGACGATTGATGAAGGCTGACGGTCGAAAACGTGAGTACTGATAGAGATCTTCAACCTGAATGTCTGAGTGACATTTGCCGTTCGACGTTCGGCAACCATTTGCGTTCGTTCAATGGCAAAACAAATTGAATTGATTACCTTGGAACTTCGACGGACAGACTATATTAACGACAACTAAAATGTGCTCTACAGAAAATAAAATGCAACGAAGATTTTACCATGTCGTGCCTTCATGACATTCGAAAGGACCAAGTCTTTTGACATTGATTTCATCCTTCCAAAGGAGTCTGACACAAATTAGTTGACCCTGGTAGGATTGGGGATGCTTGGTTGACTTGACAGATATAGGCCAGACTCCCAAGGTTTTGGGATTAAAGCCATGTTCTCTTTAGCGTCATGCACTGCTCACTATTTGGATTGGGTGCCAGGTGGGTGACAGTAATTTGGGTGTCTGTTATTCAACGCGGGATACTGTAGGCATCATTTCCCAAAAGATCCGTTCTGAAAAGCCTTTGGAGTTGGGCCTTAACTGCTCCTTAAAGTGGTAGTAGTTGGCTGATTTTTTTTCAGACAAGATACAGCATGGTTGTTATCAGCTGTGCTCTTTTCGTCCATGGGGGTAGTCGTGTTCTTTGAAGTCCCCCAGGTCCAGAAAAACAGACAACTGTTGTAGAACCGAAAGAGTCATGATTTAACTTCGTTAATACGACTTTTCCTTATGTTTTGGCTCCCATTTTAACTCTTACACTTTACAAAGATTTATTCAAAAACACTAATCAATTGCAATCGATCAATATTTTTTCGTAAACACAACAACCAAATGTAATGTCCATCAATTTCGCGCGAAAAAATAACTTATGAACGTCGTATCATCTAACCCGACTACGATACACACTTTAAACATTAAAATTTACAACAAAACATTAAACTCACTAATTATCGATTTTTCAGTCAAGGGGATGCACAAAATCGATATAGAAACGAGAGACATTATGAGGGAGACATCACATTGTGAGACATATGAGTGAACCACTCAGCACACCGTCTTACGTCATCGATCAGGTATCTGGTATAGATACAAGCGAATATATAGTCATGTTACGCAGTTTTGCTCAGATAGAAAACCGCGCCGCTACCGCCCGCTTGTTTTGCATGTCTTTGGCACTATCGCTGATTTGATTATTCATCATGAAATATCGCTTACTTTATATTTATCCGTTACATTTTATTTCTTTTGTAGGATAAATATGGAGATTCTTCAGCGAATACATTGAATGCAAATTTAATTCTGATCGAGACTTTTGGGACACCGTGCTGAGAAGATTCCATCTGGAAAACATTTTAATGCACATAAATTCTCGGATACGAGAGACAGGGATCATTAGCTCTGTTTCATATTTAGGGGGTTACTGAAAAGATAATGAACACCGATAGATATGTCCGCAAAAGAAAAGTGAGACAATCAATTTAATAGAAAATATTCCAGCCGATAGAACCGATAGAAAAGTTTTTACTTAAGAAAGGCGCCACATCTAGCGATATTGCGTGATTGCAAGCGGCGCGGTACAACACCGCATTTTGGAATAATGAAAATCCATTTTAGGTTGTTGAATTGTTCGAATTGGACGAGCTGCCTCTGTTCTCTGACATTTGCTCCTTGAGCAGAATCATCTCACGCCTTGCTTTGCAATAGCGACGAAAGTAAATATCTGGAATGGAACGGGACATTATCGGTTGGTTCACTGATTAATTTATTAAATTCCATGATCGGATTATTCTTGTGAGATGTGTGCCATACTATCGAACTCGACTAGCGGATGCACTAACATACAATGCGCGTTGCGACCGCTCGCGTCACATCCTTTCCGGATAGAGAAAGTTTTTCATGTGTCCCCTTTCTAAGACTAATATAACTAAAAACTTAAAAATTGTATACTATCTATATTGAGTTGATATCGATATCACGATATTGATGAGAGTATCTCGATCAAATTTCTGCCCGAATCGAAGAATGAGTTGCCCAGGGAATCCTCAAACTTGTGGAATCCTATAAATCGCTTACTTGACTTCTTCTTTTCGGCTTGTAATTGTTCTCGTAGCTTGCTTTCGTCAATAAGCGATCCTTTCAGCTGACAACGTAAGAATTCGACTTCTTCTAAAAATTCAGCGCACTAACTGATCAATATATTGATTTCTTTTAGTGAACATAAACAGTAAGATCAATGATATGGACAGAGCCATAAACTGACCTTTCATACCAAAACAAATTTCCCAAAATCTTGAATGTGTTTTCCGTCTTTTTTCCTGCATTTCGTTTCAAATACAAAACAACCATACCTCACGCCATTTTCTCAAAGATGAGCCACGTACGCGCACTTTATGTGAACTGTAGACAGGACTGAATCTGCTCAGAACATACAAAGACGCTGAAAGATGTACTTATTCCTAAATTAGTCTCACTAGAGTGTACTACCATCGGATTTGGATCTCTTCTGGAAAAGCTTTTCGTTCACATTTTTGTTCGAGTTTTGGTTCCGATTGAAAACGAAAATGGGACTGCAGATTTGATGAAAGGCCAGTTTATGTTCGTTTATCAGCTAAGCGGGTCGGAATTGTGAATTTGTGACGTTTAGGTTTGATAGGTACCGAGGTCAAGATAAAAAGGATCGCACGTGTTTCTCTGATCCCGAGGGTGATCTCACTGCAGGGAGAAGGGATAGCACTTCAGACTTGGAAGGGAGTAATCCGTTATTTTTATCTTAGCTGCAATCTACTGTGCAAGGCTGGATTGCTGAGTGATTAGTAGGGGGGTCATATATTGACGCACAGTCTGTTCCGCGTTTCATGCAGACTTTATAGCAGTCCCCCTCACCGGTCCAGGCTTGCCCGAGATTATTGGTGGAAGCCAATCTGAGTACTCTCCTATGAGCTCCAATAATGGAAAGTCCGGGCGTAAAGTAAGAAAGTCACGTCGGTCGGACTTGTGAACAGCTTGCTGAGGTCGTAAGGTGACTATCATAGAATGGACGGACTATAGGACCGCTGCAATCCGTAGATTGTGTGTAGACATTGTCAAAATCAGACTTGACTCGATAACTGGAACGTCGAGTACTTAATCAACGAATTTCTTCGTTCCTGAACTTGGTCCATCTGGAACGTGAGTGTCCAGAAAGCATTGGCAATGAGAAGGTGGAAGGCCATCCTCCAACTTTTGTACCGACGTCTGTGTTATTGGAGAATGTGTAGACGGAAAAATTGCGAATATGCCTAGGTACCACCCTGAGAATCGTGTGCATCCCTAGATTCGTAGGGTGTTGTAGGGTGAATGTAAAGCGCATTTACTATGATCTCACTAATGCCGAGATCTTTGGCAGTCGCCCACTTCCATCTATCAGGTGATTATCATCATCCTGCTCATCCTTGCCGCGTTACCTTATCAACAGACGAGGCAGATGAAGTAATCGGATGGTTCGCATACTGAAAACATTCATTCTGTGCAAACAAATCCACTGTATGAGCTGTCGTCACTGTGAGCGGCGGCTAAGAATTGGAGATTAGCCGAGGGTTTTTCTTCTGACCAAGAAAGCGCGGTGGCTTCCTATTTCAGAGCGGATTAAAGATATGGAGCTTCGCTAACGTAAACAGCTAAATGCTAACAATACCTACAGAATGACCCAGTTCTTGTCCTTGAAATTGGTAAAAATTAGACAAAAGATACGTAGTGGTGGTGGGGCTTTTGCCTGCTCGGAGGAGGTTAATGTGTTACATTGTATGGATGGGCACTGCTTGTGACTGATAGAAGCGCAACTTTCGCGGAAAGAGTTATCCTAGCAGTACCATCTATATATAGTCAGATAATGTATGAAGCAAGAAGGGTTAAAAAGGGATAGATGCTTGCCGACGAAGATTTACTCACGATGTATGAGCCAGAAATGTGTCGCCCTGTCAATCTTGTCAGTTTAGTTATAGAAGCATTGAAGACATTTCGGGAAAGAATTATCTGGTCACGTAACCAGCATGACTAAGTTGGCTTTGGATTTTTTGTAAAATCGACCGGGGCACCTTCAAGCTGGCTTATGCTGAGCTTTTTTCTCATCGCTCCCAGCCTTCGTAAAGCTTACTGAGCCATATCAACAGCCGTGATCGTTGATTATATCGTCACTCAACCACTAAGTCTTGCTTGGGGTTAGTAGGGCGTTTCCGCATGAGGGGTATGTTATTGGTATCCCAGAATTCTGTCTTGTGACGGAGTGTTCTTCTATCACGGCGGTGCGAAGCTTATAAAGGATATGAGTTACAGATTCGGTACTGCCGTACATAACAGGATATTTTGTTGGACGGAGACTAAGCTCCAAAGGTTCTACATGAAACGCTCCATGTGTTGCGAGAGTCTTACGTTGAAAACAATGTAACACACGAGGAGATGAAAGAATCCCTCATTCCTCCGATTGTCCCCCTTTGACAGTTGAAGGTAAACCACTTGGGTAGATGTCTTTTTACGGATTTACTCATTCTATCCAACATTTGTGAAGCTCAGACAAGTAAGAGTATGACTAGCGAAGGTGAAGTCTTCCCAGTTTTTAGCGAGTGCCCAGGTAAGTTTTTTTTCTTAAAATCATCTAGTTGTTCTCTGAATCGTTTTCTAGAAAGACTCAAGTACGTTCCATCCGCTGGCACAGACAAGTCCGAAGGCTTTGGAAAGACCCTCCAGAATTCCCAGCCCCGGGTTCTCCTTGGAGCTATTTATTCTATGGGTGCCAGTGTGGTAGCCTGAAGTTAAAGAGTGGGTGTAGGAAAGCACTTTGTATTTTTTGAAGCGTTTTCTAGAGGACAACTTGACTCATCTCACTGAACTGGATTAACCAGGCTGAAGGAATGGATTATGTACTCAAAATTATCATCTGACGATTTTCTTCTGTCTTGTGAAAGGTGTCCAGAGCTCAAGTTCAAGAAAAATCCGTATCATATGGATACTTCCTACTGTCTTGTGAAAGGTGTTTAGCACTGCAATTCAAGAAAAACCCGTCATATATGAACTTTCCTTGAACTTTTGCCCTGTCCACACTTTTAAGGAAGATTTTCGATATATTATATTGGTCCTTGTTGGACATTCGGTATCAGATCGCTGACTGAAAGGGCGTTCGTTATTCGAGATTGAGGACTGGATTGGTCTTTACAGTTGTTTGGATTTATTTCAGAGGGTTCTAAAGATAATTGGCGGAGAGAACCATCTTTTTCAATCAAACACTGAGAGAAGTTTTGCAACATTCGTGGTTGCAATGTCCAAGGTTGAACTGGTGTTCTCCAACGAAATCCTAGCAATTCAGGAACTCGTTTTTAATGCAAGAAGAGCTTGCCTTCTTCGGACCCGCCAGTGACAAACACAACTAGAGTAATTTAAACAAGAACTCGAGGTTCAAATAGAAAAATTTTCTAGACTTTTCACAGTTCCCATTTCTCGAAAGTTCTGGGAACTGGGACTCGCCTCGTTCTTTACGTATTGATTCCATTTGATGTTTGAAATGCTCGCTGGCCATATCGATAAGAGATATGATCTTTGTCGTAGCAGCCGCTGACGGATCTGATGATGATGAATTATTTGAGTTTGATCCTCCTCGTTCCGATTGATTAGGGGAGATCTGGAAGAAATGTTCATGAGTTAGTAAACATGCCGATCAATTATTGATTAATCGACTAACATCGCTCTCTTTTCGCATATTTTCCAATGAATCGTTGTCGCTTGTCTCAGAATTCGAGTTCGATTTGGACAAATTTAGTGGCGCACCTTCAACATCTGCCCCACCTGGTAGTACCATGGTTGATGGACTGCTGAAAATACCACCTTGGAAATAGATAAACTTAGAGATTTTCATTTTCTCATCATTTACTGCTATCCTGACGTCTTGCTCACAAAGTAGCCCACGGCTATCACCAGGGAATTAAAATGACTTAGTCTCCATGTGTTATTGAGAAGAAATGTTTGTCTATTGAGACCTACCACATCTCCGGTTGCTTTTGTGCAGCAGCTAATACCATCATATGTTGTACAAGAAGTTGTTGAGCACTGATTTGTGGTAGAAACTGTCCAAGGAAAAGTGGATTCAATTGTGTTGCGCATGGCACATTGCCATATTCTGTCTCATTGCTGCAAGGCTGTTGTTCTGAAAATAAGCCTCGTTAGTTAGTTGTCCCGCTCCTCACCGCTACGAAGCATGAGGGAACACCGTACGGCGATTCTTTGCCAGTTGTCTCGTTGCACGCTATACCACTGAACAGTTTGACTCTCAACCCACATATCTCAATCGCTTACCTTCAAACTTTTCACGTTTCGCTGCCCATTCTTCGACGGCGGAGGTACGTTTTGGAGGGCGACCCGGACGGGTACTGGAATATCCAAAGCTAATTTTTGTCTCACTATCATAAGTAACTAAGCTGCACTAACCATGTATTGGTGCAGTCGTCATAGAGGCGATCGAAATCGGTGGCTGCTATGAGTTTGCATCGATTCACACCCGGTTGAATGGCGTTTTTGCTACGAAGGGCGCGTACCTGTGACCGAAATATAGAAATTAATATTGAACGACTGTAAAATCGTAGGCTGGTGATTTCTTTTCGGGGTTTTGTATCTTTTCTTCTAACGTGGCGAAAAGTCGCTTTTTTACGATGCTTCCAAGCCATAGGTAGTACTATCGGGTTGAATCAATCCCTTCAGTTCTGGCCACGTCGAAATAAACTGCATCGTGCCATTTTCCCTTGTAATGGGAAATGGTGATACGGGTCATGTCGAAAAGTCCATCGATTTCGGGATTGATGGCTTGCCAGGTAATGAAAAGGATGGGGAACACATGCCCTTGACGGTGTCAGTCTTGCTTTGTTCCATTCATGAGGGTTTGAGCAAAACCCGCTTCTCAACGGGTCACTCATTGGGGCGACCTAAAATTATGCTTACCTGTTCAACGTTGCATATTATTGGTGTTATTTCCAGTCTTTTGAGCTTTGTATAAACTGTATGTAAGCCGCCAACCATGTTCTTGAGAAAGAGCTCGTAGACCTGTGACAGAACAATTCAGCCCTGGTAGAGTTGTTTCAAATCGACGTATAGCTTGAATACCTGTGGTAGACATAGCATATCAGTGCCACGTAGATCGAACCCGACAACGGTCTGCCCGCGATAGTTGATTTCTTTTGGTATAGCCGGCTCATTTGATTCATATGGTGAGAGTTCCTGTGGGATTATTGAAGACTGACCTGGAAGAACTCAATTTCATTTTTTTTCTCTGCTTCAAACTCACGCTTACTGTTGATTAGTCGGTCATTTGTTTTTTTGTCCTGTTTTTTTTTTCTTTAGTATTTTACCAATGAGGATGTGTTTCGTTCAGATCAACCATTAGGTCGGTACAAAAGTAATACTCACACAATACTTTCAACACTCACATTTAAGCGTGTGACTCGCCTCATCTCAGTTTTGGTACGGCGAAGTTACAGTTTATGATGCATCATTGGTAACAGAGAAAATACAAGTCTGCTTAGTTCTACAGGCTGGAAATTCGAGCTTTCGGAGTTCACGACGTTTCAGAAGCCGTTTTCGATGTCCGCTCGGTTTTGCAAATTTTACTGGTTGGGCCGCCACCCAGATAGTTGGCGAACAGCTCCGGCGAACACGGTGAGTGGGGCTGAGTAACATAGCATCAGTGGCGTCACTTTGGAAATGCGTTGTCGAGCATCGCCGTGTAGAATGAACGGACCCTTCCTGTTCGCCAACTCTAGGCAAATGATTGGAGTTCTGGTCCGATTCCCTGCAGTCGTCTGTGAAGATATGGTATCGTCACTGACCTAATACTGAATCTCGTTCAAAATCTTCTCAATACTTGGAGAAAACGGTGAAATGCGCTACAAAATGATGTGTGCTTTTGCTATCAAAAATCGTTATAACAGAGTAATTGTCGGTCAAGTGAATCAACGAGAAACGCATTATTTTTGCACCGACCTTATAGAACTAGTACACTAAATCTGGTGATACGTTGTCAGATACAACGCACACACATACAGACAGAGCAAGAGAACAACTTTACTCGACACATTGCCACGAATCTTTTGCTTTGCTACAATCTTGCTTCAGACTGATGAATGGCACCAATTGAAGGAATGGTTATGACCTTTGTCGGTCTGAAGCAAGATCGTAACAAAATTTGGTTGTAAACATCTTATAAAGTTGATTTGTGGGTTAAATACAGTCAAGTGACGCTCGGAACCAGTGCTATTAGCATTGGAAATTCGTAACTGAGTGACGAAATGGGGTAACGTCATGTGCCGTCGCTCACACAAGTATGATTCGGGAAACAATTTCCTAATCTCTACTGACCCGAGCAACCAATTTTTCAAAGTTTCTGAAGTCGGGTAGGCGGTAGCTAATTCTTACGGAAGCGTGAAAACATTGAGTTGCTCTTCGGTTGACCTCTGCAACTTTTTGTAAGACCTTGGCAGCATCGGAATGGTGCAGGAGATTCTCTCAGTTTCTCTAGAGACTTCGAAATCTTCGTGGCCAAGGTGGCAGTCGAAAAAAGGCTTTTCATTCTGTTCTGGTGTCAAAGGTAAAGAGATCTCAGGTAAGAATATCGAAGGTCGCATAATTCTTCTCATGAAACAAGCCATATGCGAAATGTGAGTTTGCCTGGGCGCGTTGTCTTTTCCGCTGATATATGGTACAGATCAGTAGTATCACATTTTTCCTGGTTTTGAAAGAGTTCGAGGAGCTCAAAAGAGCACGAAGACACTCCATCTGAGATCTCGATATTTGTGTAATCTCCCGTTGGAATTTCTCGAATACTTTCACTCTCGGCAGGACCGACAATCAAAAATTCCTCAGAGGGTGCTGTGTTCTTTGGAATCAAAGGAAAGGATTAAGCGAAAGGGCTTAGACTTTCACCCATTCCTTCAACACACCACCAAGATGAAGAACCTTCTACACGTCATTCATCCAAGGTAATCCTCCTTCATGAAATCCGCAGTACGTAAAGGGATGCTTGGTTTTTACACATCACTATAAATTTCGAAATCATAAGTTTCCCAAAGCATATGTTGTTTATGTGAATACCTCGAGTACCATAGCAGCAGTTCAATTTTACTACTGAGCATCGTTGTTCGTGCGTCATTGATAACTGTTTGGTAGATCATGTAATCATGTTGTGTGCCATATGGACGCACCAAATTGTTGCGTTCAGTTGTTAGTTGTAGGAGATTCCAGTTGACGGAACGGTAAGAACTTGGTTTCGGACACGTCAACGTGGTCGTCGCGCAGAGCGACATCAGCTGCTTCTGTTGATTTCAGGTCATAGCAGCCGCCCTTCGAGGGCCAGGATTTTAGAAGCAACCTTTGAAAAGGAAACAGAGAGGATGCTTCTCTTACTCTTCCTTCTTTCGTTTCATTTGTCCTCAGATTATACTTCCCTCATGGATATGTCAACGAGCAGATAAGGTAATAGAAAAGCGAGAGTTCTGGAAAATGCTTCTTGGCTCATTCGCGAAGCCCCTTTGGCGTTAGAGAATTTTCCCTTGCGTTTGTACGTTTTTGTGAATCCAGAAGTTGTTGTAGTGTAGTGGCTACATTATTTGTGAATTGTCTAGGTGGTACAAAATGAAGCCTTGAGTACTAGCCGAAATGGACAACACATAGAAATGACAAGAGACTCATCATCAAAAAAGAAAAAACCCACACGGCCGAAACAATACTGACCAATACAGGTTTTCCGCGCGGGGCCCGTAGTGCCGGGTGCCTTTACTGTAGGTGGTGTGCGGGTCCAGCGCGGAAGATCATCGCTCACCATCGCTGTATGTATCGTAGCCGTCCATCTTTTGCCGTGTGTTAATGATAACTGATAACTGAACGTACAGGCGAGCTCCTCTGCTCTTATGTTTGTTGAGATGCATGACGTCGTCGTAATCATGCCACGAACAGCGATAGTAATCTGATTCACGGGACTGCGTATTCTATCAAGAAGCTGTTTTCGAGGGTTTAAATGACGCACGCACAGCTACGAGCCGCGCTGAGCACCCTTTATCGCCTTTTGCCATAGATACTAATCTAGCGCTATTCCTGTCTTGGTCATTATATCCCTATCGGCTTAGTGTTTCTAATATCTGTCTGGGTTTCGAAACAGTTGGATTGCTCCTTGGAGGCCTCGTGAAGGCTCTGGATTGCAATATGAATGGAAGATTGAAAAAGTTATGAGCTGTACCGAGATGACATTCGAATGAATAGCGAGATTAACCAGTAACGACCTCACGTTTTAACACCTGGTAATGCGTTCTAAATGGACTGTTGGTAGGTCGTTCTGGTTCGAGTAGATGCTTGGGTATTTTCGATTTCAATATTGAGTTCTTTAAATTATGGTACAACCAATGCAAATATAGTGGACAATCGAAAAATGCGCTGAAAGAAATTCAAGGTTGGAGAGAAAGGAGTAGCCGGCTTAAGTAGAACAGAGAAGTTATCCGACAGATTGACGTGGCGACAACGGAGGCGAAGCCATTTAAGAGTTGTACTTACGCTAATTAGCAAGGCCGACGAATCATTTGTGAGAGCAGAAACAAGAATGGCTCACTGGACAACGGAATCTTTCTATGTATATCATACAGATCGCTGTAAACCCAACAAAAACGAGCCTTGCACTGGCTTTTGCCTTGACAATCTAGAAACGTTGCGTTTTGATGTGGCAATCCTTGACCTATTCTACTGCTGAAGACATGAGTGAAACCAGCATCAGAAAAATGTCAATGATTGTCTGGAATCAAAGAAGCAAGAGCAGAAAACGTTTATGAGGAAGCGAATGCTGGCATTGAAATGGCCCACAGCCCAGCATTTTTCAATGGCTGCTGAAAATGGAGGAAATCTTTCAAGGTTGCATGAATTTAAAGGCGCTGTATGAGGAGACTAGTTAGGCTGCAACAGGAAATGCTAAAACAGTACCGTCGGCGTTAAACCATTAATACAATAGGAACGATTAAGGTGAGTGACTGCGACGCTACATTTCTCAAACAAGCTATGAGCGAGACATAGGCTTCGATCGTTTATGGAACTATAGGAGGAGACTCAGATATATTGGCTCTATTCGTACAGTGTATACCTATATTGAAGCTGAAACTGTCGAATGAGTTGCCCAAGCAAACTATGAGCATTCAAAGCTTGCCTTAAACTAGTGTTGATTTGTTATGACAGTTGGCCAGTCCGCGTGACGTAAGTGAAGTGCTCTTCTCTTAATTCAGCTATCGTCGTGTATGTCTCGTTAGTTCTACGTTTACGCCTGTCTCGCACATTAAAGATGGCGTAGTTTTGCATGGAATAGACTTCGAACACCCTCCAGTGATAAAATTCCAACAATGATTGTTTTTCGAATGTAGGAGATCAACGAATCGCAATGCAGAAGAAGGGAACAAGAACATGCTCGTTTATGTGGGAATCGGATATTAGAAAACCATTACTTTACAGCTCACAAAACTATGCGATTGGTTTCAGGCCGCGGCAGAGGATTACGCGTCGGTTTGTCGAAATGTAAGCTAGGTCTCCCGACTGACCCAGAGGGTGTAGGGGACTATCTGATCAGACAGAGAACGAAGGACGAGCTTTGAGGAGCATTAGGGAAGATGCAAATTGAGAATGTGCTAGATGGAAACGGAATAAATTGGCATAAGATTTGCTTTTGAAGATGTAAGGCAGCTGAAAAAAATACTTTACCAACCCAGCCCCAAGCGGAAGAGGTTACGCAAGAAGTATGGGTTTGAACTTAGGGAGCGATTGGGTCTGCTCATTGTTAGAGCTGAGGAAACCTGCCCTGATCTCACAAGAATCCTGCCTTCTAGTGGAATTCTAATGGAATTTCCAGTGTGGATGTTATCTTCGTCACGTAGTGATGAAAAATATCGTGAAGCTGTCTCGCTTGTGGGGTGGACACTACGATTGAACGAGTGACGTCAAACATTTTCCTCTTTTTTGCAACTCGAATAATATACTGGGAATGGGCTCTGAAGACCGTGAGGGCTCTGAAGGGAAGTCACTGCCCAAGGGAAAAGGATGCCTTGGGGAGGGCTACGTGGAGGCGTTCAACAACGGCAGCACTTTGAGATGACACATTACTAAAATTAAGGCCTCAAACGAGAGGAGGTGGAAAGGTGAAAGTGAAGCGTGATCTTGACGAATTTAGGGTGTTACATGCAGGGAATGGATCCTTGTGGTTGGTCTAGGAGACCCCTTCCCTGAGAGGATCAACCTACGTTTGATGCTTCTTTCCGAAAAAGGCTCAGGTAGAGCACTCGAGCAAAAGTAGTTTCAACCTGTAACTTTGTCACAAACCTTCCCACACGTCGTGTGAAGCTGCATTATCATGAACACTCAAAGGTATTCTGCATTTGAGGGCTAAAACAGAAACCCTCTCGCGATGCCATTAGAAATAGAGGACACAGAC